GGGCTGTGAGGGGCCCTGGTGGCATCGCCCCGCGCCGCCCTGACCCCGCGGTGCTTTCCTCTAGGCCATGGCAAAGGCCGTCTGCCTTAACGGGTACAAAAGGCCCGCCGGAGCCGCTGAGGGCGCGGGGGAACGGCCGGCGGCTCGGAAGAGGAGGAAGGTGGATGGCGGCGGCCGGGGCCCTGAGGTGAGCGGCAGAGCGCGCCCGGTGCACTGCTGTGGGGACAAGGCCGCTGGCCTGCGCCTGTGCGGTATTTCTTACAGCCACGGTTTTGCTAGATTTATTGCATCACACGTCGGATACTGGAAACTCAGAAAAACCATGTTTTTCTGGCAGTCTGGGTAGGGGGTTGACTAAAGATAATGCCGAATGGCTTAGGTTCTGCTCCAAAAAATATGGACATGAACTCATTTTAGGTGTTAGGCATTTCTATTTAAGGGTTTTTGTTAAAAAATAAATACACTCTCCTCTTTCCTAATACACTTTTTCCTAAACAAAGTAGATCTTGAAAGGAGCATTGTATCCACTCAGCACATTCACAACCGAAGGATGCAAATTATCCCAAAGTTTCAACCTCATGGTAAACACTTTACTCAGCCAGGTTACAGCTTCTTTAGTGCCCCGTGTGGGACAAGAGTAAGCGTGTCAGACCTGTGAGATCAGTCTTAACTTGTACCTGATTAGAGACTGACGTTCCTGCAGTTGGCAGGTAGCCTTTGCTTGGTGAAACAAAAGTTCTGCTGTTTGGTTGGGGGGTTTTTTGCAGACCTCTAATTAGGCTGTATTGAAAACAACGGTGTCATTTGTCTAACTTAGCATGAGAGATGAGGGACTAGCAATTACACCACCCTGTGTTACTATTATTATTACCAGATGATTCTTAACCACTTGAACCTGAAAGGTTGTCACCTCTGTTTAGCTTTTCTACCCAATGACAAATGGCTTCAAAAGCGCACCAGCTCAGTCCCATGTGGGCAGGCTCTGTCAAAAATTGTGAGTCCAAGGCTTGTTAGTGTGGGGGGGAAAACACAAATTCTGGTAGTTGTTTATCCTGTGGGATTTGATGTTCTGTAGTGTTCTGTGGCCTTTTTTCTCTTCCCCTATATGTCGTGATGTCTTTTCATCATATAAAGAGCATCTTTAAAATTTCTACAGCTGAAAAGTGCTCATTGGAACAGCCCATATGGTCAGTGGAGGTCTCCAAAATCATGCATTTACTTGCTGATTAGCTTTTAGGAGAATCTGTGCATTTAGGCTTAAAGAACTATTGTGTTGAACTGTGTGGTGCAATTTCTACTCCATCTCGTCTTCTTCATGCTTGCTTTCTGCAGTTTGGGATTTTACTGAAACAATTTTTTTCCTGTAGGGGTCAGCAAATCCATCTGCCAAAACAGATCACATAATGTAAATGAAGTAATGGCTTTCAGCAAAACCTTGCATGAAGCAACAACATGTAACACTTACATAAATGCCTAAAGCTCTACATCAGCAAGTGGGTGAATTGGTTGAGAGAGCAGAACATAGTGTTTGCAAATCAAATAACTTTGTCTCCTTACTACATACATCTATTTACATTAATCTTTATTGGATAAATCTTTGAAGTTAGAGTACCTAGGTTACTGAAATATTGATAGTAAGTTTAATATTAAAGTGTAATTTGAAAGGAAACTTGCCTATAATGAGTGGAAAAGTTGTTTTAAATGTAGTTGATTGTATTCAAATGTAAATAGTTTCCTTTTACCATATAATTCGCTTCATTTTCCATGAAGTTGTGTGAGGACATAAAACCTTTCTTTACTAGCATTTCCCTTTCTACAGGAAAAGTCATCTCGTTTGTCAGCAGCTTTATTTGGTGAGGACTGCGAAATCAACCACGACCAGCTCTATGAGTTGTTAAAGTATGCAGCTTTGGGAAACTGCCACAATGCAACACAGCCCAGGTACAACACATTCATATCCAGGAATCAACCCTGTCTTGTGTCCTCATGTGTTGTGAAAACATACCTAAAGGCATGTTGGCCATGCTGGTTTTGGAATCCTTGCAACGCAGTTGCCATAATGGCAGCCTGTATTATGTAGATACTACTGTTGTTAGACTTGGCCAGAGACCAAAATTCCCTTCCTGACAAAAATTCTACCATTTCATAGTTTTGTTTCATGCAGCTTTCAAAAACTAAACAATTTTGTGGAACTAAAGAAGTTTCACACACTGAGAAATGAAATACCATGTTAATAATATGACACAAAAAATATTAACACATTTCATGATAGACATAGTTGACACAGACTAGAGTCTATTCTGGAGTGTTTGGGGAAAAACATTTTAGTCACTTTGCCCTGTTTCAGGGAAGCTTCTCAGCAATGGAAGAGAAAGGCTGAGGAGGGTATATAACCTCAGATGGCAAAAATATGGTGAAATATAACAAAAGTTGAGGCAAAAATAATCCCACTTTAGATTTTTAGTAGTGAATAGAAAATGATTTTGTGATAATTATTTTATGCATTCATTCACTAGACTACATCACTACAGCTGAAGTTACTTGTCCACATTCTGATGCACATTAATAATATATAATTGTCTTGAAGTGGTACTGCAGCAAAATGTTGCTATAACTCATTCTTTCTCTGTCTCCTGTATTCTGTTGCTTCCAGGAATATGTGGCTGTTTGAGATAAGCTATAAAGCCTCTTCTCATTGAAGTCATTTGGCACTTTGCCATTCACTGACTTAAAAACTGGGCTGGTTCCAAGTTTGTTTTTAAGAGTGCTTGATAATTGTTTTGCTTTGATTTTTTTTTTCTTTTTTTTTTTTTTGTGCCGTATTTATCACCAAAGCCACCTGGCTGGGGTTGTGGTTATTGTTCTACATGAAACGAGCCAACTCCATTTCTACAAATTCTATTTGCAGTTCAAACACCTCAGAAAAGTGTTCCGGCATGTAAGTTCCCAACCTGTATTGCTGTCTTCTAAACTTTTTCCAATCCTGAAACCATGTCCCAAGGATTAATCGCTGCAGTGAAATCACTGCCTTTTCCAGTAGGAAGTGGCCATCTTTGACTCCCAAAGCAAGCTAATGAGAGGATCTATTTGTAGCCGTTGTCAGCTCAAAACAAAGGCCAAGGCTTTGATATTAGAAACAACTTTTCAGGACTTATATCTTTGAAGCCTTACCAGGTGAAACATGTATTGATGTTTCAGACCTCTGACTTTTATGCTTCCTGCATCTTCAGGATGCCAATGAAATTAAAAATATCACAGTTAATTTGGAATTTACTGAGTGAGGAGACACTCAATAGAGTTATGCTATTTCCATTGGTTGAAAAATCTCACTTGTACTATTTGCACTTTATGTCAAGTTTCTCCCATTTTCCAAAAGTATTATTAAAATAATTACTTAAATTCTCTGAGTTACAAGCAAAATTTTTGAAGAAAGAAAGTAGCACTTTGATTCAGACTTCTAGACTTTGATTCTCCCTGAACTGCAGCAAATGCAAATCACAACTTAACTGGAAAGTCTGGAATGTACTTTAGTTTCTGTCAAAGAAAGTCTTGAGATTTGCTTTCTTGATCATATCAGACAAGGCAAATCTGTCCCTTAGTACAAAGAATCCTGTATCGTATATCATTAAAATGGGTTGGGTTTGTGTTGGGTTTTTTTTTTCTTCCTTAGGTAAACACCAAACATATTTCCACTACTTCTTTATCCATCTTGCTAAATTTGGCTGGTTTGGGGGTCAAGAAACATCTTATTTGCTTGATATGTCTGCTTCTGTTTCAAAGTCTCTAACACATCTTTTTTCAGAGATTCACATTATCATCTTCCACTAACTTCCTAGCCAGCTTGTACGGAGAAGGAGCAAACCTGAAACCTCAAAACACCGCACAAGGTATCTGGTTTTGCATCATCTCTTTGAATCATAGTGACTTGCTTTTAACAGTAATTTATGCCTTTGCCTCCTGTGCAATCCCAGCATGCTGGTATGGTAAACTTGTTTACAAAGGAAAACATACAGTGGCTTAAACTATGAGACTAGTTACTCTGATTAGTCCACTAACTCTTTTGGGCTTACTCAACCAAGTAAGTGCAAAATGCAGAGAGTTTTTAACATGTTTAATCCAAAATTCTGATGTTTCATTGCCTATTTTGTGATTATTTTATTCTAAAATGTATCTAATAAAAGATAAAGATATAAATTCAATTCAAGCTAAGTAGTTACTCATTTCTTCTTAGTTTTCTTTGTTATACTGAGCAGCAAATCAACGTAAAGAACGGGTGTGTTGATGACTGATTTCCTATTTTTACACTCTTTATAGAGGTGATTGTAATCCAACAGGCTTGTACAAAACCTGCAAAAGACTACAATGCGAACTTCACTGAAATTATTAGAAGTGTAACAAAGAATCTTGAATTCAGGTCCTAAATGGGAGAATGAACAGCTGTTACTTTCAGTGTATTGACAGAGTCCTTTAGCATCCTGACTAAACCTTCTGCACACTCACAGACCTGAGATGTCAGGTATATTTTTCTTTTAAGTGCAATCTGCAGAGAGTCACCTACAGGATAATTTAACTTTATACAGTTGTGGATTCTGGTGTTGTTCAGTGCTTGCTTCTTGGTGAGCTACACTTAGAGCACATTTTCTCTTGATAACACTTACAAGAAAGAATTTCACAGAGAAGGTATTAAAAAAAGGTAACTTCTTTTACAGCTTACATGAAGTAACAGATGATTATGTTCTCATGCTTACGAGGCAAGTTTGTTCTCTCTGTTTCTGAAAGGAATGTGAGGCAGAGACTTGTGATGTGACTTGCTTCTGAATCAGCCAGCAGTGTTAGTAGCTGATCTGGGAAAAGATTCAAGTATCCTGAATATCAAGTATATTTTATATATAGATATGATATATACACTATATACATTATATATGGTATTGTGTATGTATGATTATGTATATATAATCATAGACTGTTTTGGGTTGGAAGGGACCTTACAGATCACCCAGTCCCAACCCCCTGCCATGGGCAGGG